GTGTGTGTGTGTGTGGCCAGCTCAGCCCACCAGGGGGCGGGGCTGGCTGGCATGTGGTGCTGGGGATCGAACCGCGGTCCCTATGCTTTGCCAAGCTTGTTTCAAGTAGGTGCTTTAGACCACTGAGCCATCTCTCCAGCCCCCCGATGTACCTTCTTTTAAAGTATAATTTGGTGCATTTTTATTTATAACAACTAAAATAGAATGATGTTTTAGATTTTTAAAAAATGAATAGTAAACTAGTCAGGCTTGGGGGTTCATGCCTCAGGAGACTGGGACAAGAGAAATACAGATTTGAGGCCAGCCTGGACTACAAAGTAAAGCCATTAAAAAAAAAAAAAAAAAAAGGGCTAGCCAGATAGCTCAGTGGGCTAAAACACCTGCTTAGACAGAGTATGGTGGCTGGCTTGGGTTTGATCCCCAGTCATGCTGGCCCTGCTCCCAGAGTACTCTGAGATTGCAATTGAGACTGGGCATGTTGGTGTGTGCCTGTAATCCCAGTGCTTGGGATGCTGAAAACAGGAAAATCACTAGGAGTCGGATCTACATACTGGAACTCTGTAGACCTTGTACTAAATAAATCTATATATATATTAGACTTTGGGAAAGTTAAAATTATCAACTCAGCTGGAGTGAATGAAGATTTCTTGCAGCTCTGACAGTCTACGAGCTGATGAACTGGCTCAGGAAGCCTGGCTGCTCAGCCCAGGAGGGTAGGGCTCACGGCAGGCCTCCACATCTACCAGTTGTGCGGCCATCATTCTGCTGATGGAGGGGCGCCCACCACAGTTCCTGGGTACCCTGGGCAGGGCAGACTTACCACCCTGAGCTGGAAGAGTGTCCTTTGGTCAGAGGAGCTGGGCAGGAGGGCGAGTCCTCGGATGTCTATCACTGGTGAGAGGGTCACATTCCCAGGGGTGAGTGTCAGGAGTGGCTCTGACTCAAGTGACACCTCAAGTTCTACTTCCATGTTGGGGTATAACCTGGCCAGCTGCAGAGGGAACAGGTACTCAGCAGACAGCTGGCGACACACTGAGGGATTTTGAGACTCACAAGGCAAGACTAGAGGTCAGAGCAAACTCTAAGGGCCTTAACCAGATCACTGTAGGATGGGAGAATGTAGTTTTTAGAGCTGCCTTCCAACAGATGGCTGTTGTTGGAAGACACTCTGATAAAGTGTCTGGGGTCGGGGAGACACTCAAGGGACTGTTGGAGCACCAGCAGGCAGATGCCATGCTGCCTTCCAATGCTAGCCTGCCTTGTCAAGTTGGGGGTTGGGCCACCCTGCTCTTTTCTACTCTGCTTGTAGCAGCTGGGCCTCCAACTAAACATCAAGTAAATATTGATGGTTATAGGCTTAGCCCCAAACTATTAGCCATCCAGTATGTTCCTGTTTGTGCCTGGAAGGGTCTTGGAAGTTTGCACTGGTTGAATTTTGTTTTGTTTGTTTGTATGTATGTATGTATGTATGTATGTATGTATGTGTTATGGCTTGTGTCTGGATGTCCCCCCAAAGCCTCATGCAGTCATGGGGGCACGGGCCTTTCAAAGGCACCTGCATCTTGTGATTGGTTCATTGTCCAGTGCTGAGATTGGCCGTGTCCGTGCTGCATCTGCCCTGGGGTAGGTAGCCTGCATATAAGGGAGGGAAAGAATCTTGCACCTTTTGTTGAAAAATAAAAAATAAAAAAAAAATTAAAAAAAAAAAAGAATCTTGCACCTCGCTTTTGTCCCTTTTGCTCTTTTTTTTTTTTTTTTTTTT